CACAAAATAAAATATAAACTCCTAATAGGAAATCTTGTAATTCTTTAACCAAAGGATAGTTTAAGCAACCAGTCAACCCAATGCATTTATTTGGTAGGCTGAAAGCTTATATAGTATTACTCAGAATTGACTTTAACAGGCTGGGCATGGCGACTCACACCTGTAATCCCAGCAATTTGGGAGACTGAAGTGGGCAGATCACTTGAGGTCAGGAACTCGAGACTAGCCTGGCCAACATGGTGAAACTCTGTTTCTACTCAAAATTCAAAAATTAGCCTAACATGGTGGCGCATGCCTATGGCCCCAGCTACTCAGGAGGCTGAGGCAGCAGAATTGCTTGAACCTGGGAGGCAGAGGTTGCAGTGAGCTGAGATCACGCCACTATGTTGCAGTTTGGGTGACAGAGCAAGACTCCGTCTCACAAAAACTGTGAACTAGGCAGTTTGTTTCCAGGTAATAATCCCATCCCCATCTTAAAATCCCATCCCTATCTAATGTTAGGGAGGATTGTAATGTGGTCCCATGTTCTCCACCCCTTGGTCTTACATCCTGTATAATATCCTTTCCTTGAGTGTGGGTGGGTCCTGTGACTTGCTTCTAGTCAATACAACATGGCAAAGTAATGGATAGCACTCTTGAGATTATCTATTTTATATAAGGTTCCATCTTGGAGTGAGAGATTTCTCTGCTGGCCCTGAAGAAGCAGCTATGTTGTGAACAGCCAGTGGAGAAAGTCATGTGGCAGAGACCTGCAGAGCAGGTGGACCTGAAGGTGGCTTCTGGTCACCAGCATACTGCCCCAAGGAAGTGAATTCTGCCAGAAATCTGAATGAGACTGGAAGCCAATTCTTTTCCAGTTGAATCTCCAGATAAAAACAGCCTGGGTGACAATTTGACTACAGCCGTATGAGATTAAGTAGAGAACCCAGTTAAACCCAGACCCCTGACTCATAGAAACTGTGAGATAGTAAATGCCTGTGTTGTTTTAAGCTGCTAAATTTGTCACAGAAGTAGAAAACTAACACACTGCCCCCAACAGTCCTGTACTTTTTGTACCCTAGCCCATGTAGGCATTGCCCTTCTACATTGATATTTGTATCAGAATGGAAATGGAGATTTCTAGTATCTTTTTCATCCTTAATTCTTCATTAATTTCCTACATTCCACCAGAATGGTTTTAAATATACCATACATAGTACTATCTTTGGCTGAATCTTTGTTCATACCATTCCTTCCAATCCATATTCCCTCTCTTCCTCCTTTGTGCCTTGTTCATAAAATCCCCTAAATTTCTAGACCACTAGACCATTGTTTCCATAGCCCTTTTTAATTTGCATCCATGTTTGTCCCTGATTCACATACTGCCATGTGACTTCTTTTAAAATCTTATTTCTCTGAGAATATTATTGAATGTGTATATATCATATATAAACATATAATTCACAGAAATTATATATATACACACACAGATTTAATGTGTACATAGAATATGTAAAATACCTTTTTTTTTTTTTTTTTGAGACAGAATCTTGCTCTGTCGCCTAGGTTGGAGTGTAGTGGTGTGATCTCAGCTCCCTACAACCTCTGCCTCTTGGGTTGAAGTGATTCTTCTGCTTCAGCCTCCCAAGTAGCTGGAACTACAGGTGCCTGGCTAATTTTTGTATTTTTAGTCTAGATGAAACAGGGTTTCACCATGCTGGCCAGGCTGGTCTCAAACTCCTGAACTCAAATGATCCACCCACCTCGGCCTCTCAACACGCTGGAATTACAGGCATGAGCCACTGAACCCAGCCAGAATATATAAAATATTATACATGTATATGTCATCGTCTCTCCTCAATGAAATTGCAAACTCATTGAAGACCCGGATTCCACATTGTGCATAGTAATTGCCAGGAATACACATGTCCAAATTTAAAAATTGTGTCATATGAAGTAGTCAATCAAGTGTGGTTGGCCACTTATTGAGTCTCTTCACAGAGCCAGACCTGAGAGCATCCATCGTTGTTACCCTAGCCTCAGGGAGCTGCAGTTTCCTCTACGAAAATTGAATATAATGCCATCTGCCATAATTAATTGAAAGATTAAACAAGGCTACCATGGGTGCCTGGCACTTCACAGATGCTCAATAAACGTGAGTTAAGAGCATACCCCTGTAGTCCCAGCTACTTAGGAGGCTGAGGTGGGAGGATTGCTCGAGCGCAGGAGCTGGACACTGCAGGCAGCTAAGATGGGGCCACCGTACTCCAGCCGAGGTCATCAAGCGAGATCCTCTTTATTTATTTATAAAAATAAATACAGGAATGAATGAATCAATCAATCAATCAATGTGCGAGTTGAATCAGAATCTAGGTTTGCAAACCTCCCAAGTGTAAAGGCTGCGCAGAGAGAACAGTGGTGGAATTATCACAGGCAGGCCAATGTTTCAAAGGGGTTAGTGAAACTGAAGAAGCCTGTGCATACAAAAGGCCAGTTTAGGTAACTGAGTTTAAACTTTAGTTTCCTTTCTAAGTAGATATATGTGGAATGCAAGGCCAGCAACGGACTCACAAATACTGATCAAGAAGTGGGAGGGATCTAAAGGAATGCGAGTATGTCCTGCCAGGAAAGAAGTTTGCTGCTTCTGAAATATTTTCGTCTTCTCCACTGGCAGGATTGATCGATTGCAGTTAGCAAAGCGTTTTCTGTGCAGACTGTCCAAGCATCTGCTTCTGGAGTTCTGTACAACTGTTGCTCAAATTCACTCTTCCTTTCGAATGATCCTGTTTGTAGAGCGATAGAAAAATCCATCTAAACCACCCGAACTAATTATTCGAACTGTTTCCAAGTATTTTAAAGGAAAATCCTAGCGAGGGTCCTTAATACTTCCCCTTACCCTCTGCCTGGGTTCAAACTTCAACTCCCAGCGTTCGCCCAAGTCCCTCCCCCAGTCCTGTCATCTAATGAATATGCAAATAACACATAATTGGCAGCCAATGGCATGGATTCTGGTCACATGGTACCGATGGTAGGTGAGCAGGCAGAAGTTGTCAGTGAACAGAGACGGCGCTCAGTCTGGGGCCAGCGCTCTAGTGAGCGCGGACGGATGCTTAGGCAGTAGTCCTGGCAGCGGCGGCGGCGGCAGTAGTGGTGGCAGCAGAAGAGAGGAAGGGGGAGGGCCCCGAGGGCTACACACGCTCACACTTTCAAGTTCCCTTGGAGGGAGAGGAGGTGGGGCTGCAGAAAGAGGAGGCCAGGAGCGGTCCCATCCGTCCCGTCCCGTCTCCCCCTCTTCCTCTTGCTCCTTGCCCCCTGACTCTGCGAGAGTTGAGGGTTCGGGTGGCCGTACGTGGCAGTGAGGCAAGAGGGCCAAGAGAGTGGGAAGCGGAGGCAGGGGTGCGGGGGAAGATGCCCATCCTGCTGTTCCTCGTAGACACGTCCGCCTCTATGAACCAGCGCACTGACCTGGGCACCTCCTATTTAGACATTGCCAAAGGCGCTGTGGAGTTATTCTTGAAGGTAAAGGGAGGGGAGGGGAGAAATGGGAAAGCTCCCGAGGGATTTCGGGGTGTGGATTGAGGTGCTTCTGTAACGTTTGTATCGCCCTCCCCCCTCCTTTCCTACGCGACCCCCTCCGTCATCCCTCGCCCCGCAGCTGCGCGCCCGGGACCCGGCCAGCCGTGGAGACAGGTACATGCTGGTCACCTACGATGAACCCCCGTACTGTATCAAGGTAAAGGGGCACGGGTGGGGGGACAGGCGGGAAGCGGGAGCAAGTCGGCGGGGGCTGCTTACACCCCTGCCCCCGCCTGAGACGGTCCTGCGTCGCCCGGCGGGGCGGGCGGCGGGGGGGCGCAGGGGGCGGGCGGAGTGGTGCCGTCGGCGGCTTCGGAGTAGCTGTCGCGCCTGGGGTCGGGGAGAGGGGACCGGCGACGAGCAGCCCCGGGGAGAAACCGCAGGAGGGCCGAGCTCGTGGCGCTACAACCGCAGCCGCCTAGGAACATGGCGGACATTTTGCTTTTGTATGAGCCTGCGAGAGGGAGACTGAGGGCGCTGCTGAGATGGAAAGGAGGGAGGGGAGGGAGGAGCGGGGAAGGAGGGCCCGAAACCAGGAGGGAGGCTGCGAGGCGGGCCCGCCCCTTCGAGGCGCACTGCGCCAGGCGGTGGTGGCGGCCGCTGCCCAGGGTCCGGGCGGAGCCTGCGACTCCGCCCCGAGGTCCTGCGGGCTGGGCGCGCGGGCTTTCCCGGAGCCTGGGCTCCTCCTCCGGCCCCTCCTTCCTGCCCCTCCTCGAGCTCTTCGCAGCTTCTCCTTCTCTCCCTCTTCCTCCGGCTCCCCTCCCCTTCCTGCTGAGAGCGTGGCAGAGCCAGCCGCCGGCCTTCAAAGACCAGACAACCGTCTTTGCACTCGATGGCCTCTCACCACCCCCGCCCAATCGGAAATCTGTCCGCGCCGCCAGCCTCCCCACCCCCAGACCCGGAGCAAGTCACTGCGTTTCTGCTCCGGAATTGGCCAGGTTCAGCCCCGCTCTCAGTTACCTTAGCTACTGTTACTGTTTCATTGGAAATTCCAGCGAAGCAACGACACATAGGGGGACGTGCCGAGTGCGAACCCACAGGGGCAGAGCTTTTTGGGGACCCGCTCTACCTATTTATATCATAAATTAGGTTTGTGCTAGCCACGTAGGAATTTATCCAGGGGCAAGAAAGAAAGGAAGAGGAGGACTCAAATGTGAGCATTTATAATAGTCAAGTTCGATGATTTGATTCTGACCTACAGGAGAAAAGTAGGGACGACAGCCTCTGTGGGGTAATTTATGTTCCTATGGTGAACAGATAAAGAACTGCTGCTTTGCCTGCAGTGGCCAGATAAAATAGAATTTAAACTGTTAAATCAACCTGCATAGGAGTCCTGCTTGCATATTGAAAATTTAAAAATATTTCTACAATCCTTGACGTCTTTTGTTAGGCTTTTTCTGTTTTCCTCAGAATAATCTTAATAGTGCTAGGGAGACGCAGTCTGATGTGTTGTGATCCGTTTCTGTAGAGTGAGGTGTTTTAATGACTGGAACCTAGCAAGCTGAATAGTCGGCCAAAGAGAGTGTTCCTTCAGGCAGAAAGAAACCAAAGAGAAACTAATTTTGTAACTCCGGTTAACAGTTTAATTAGTAGGTTCCCCTTAAAACTGCTTTGGTTTCGATGCTTTGTTTTCAGTTTGTTATTTTAGCCATTTAGAAAAATTGAGTAGACATATTTCAAAATGCTGTAAGCTTTTTTTAAATGTCTGTTTTCCCAAAAGGATGTGATTATTTTTTTTCCACATAGAAAAGCAGATGTTTAAACATCCTACGTCTGAATGTCTATACCCTTTGACTGCTAATACAGATAAGAATCCACCATTTGTAGTATGGATTTGAAGACATACTCCTTAATTCGAAGTAATAAAAAACTACAAATCAGTCTGCCTTATTGGCCGGGTGCGGTGCTGTAATCCTATTACTTTGGGAAGCCGAGGTGGGCGGATTGCTTGAGCTCGAGAGTTCGAGACCAGCCTATGCAACATGGCGAAACCCCGTCTCTACTTAAAAAAAAAAAAAAAAGTCAGCCAGGCGTGGTGACGAGCGCCTGTAATCTCACCTACGCTGGAGGCTGAGGCACTAGAATTGCTTGAACCTGGGAGGCGGAGGTTGCAATGAGCTGAGACTCTGCTGCACTCCAGCCTGGGCAACAAAGTGAAACTATGTCTCAGAAAAAAAAAAAAGGAACAACTTATTTATCATGTTTCCATATGCCAAGAAGTATCGTTTAAAGATAGTTTTCCATCTATAAAACTTATTGAAACAGTATTTACAGAAACTTGGGAAAGGAAATAAACCTCATTCTTAACCATCATTACATCTTTTAGCCTAGCATTGTAATTACAGTGCACATATTACTTTGTATTCCGCTTTTTCCACCTATTTTTGTGCCATGAATTATTCCAGGTCGCCACATAGTCTTCATACTTAAAAATTTTAATGGCTGTGTAATTCATCCATGCTATTTTAAGGGCTCCAGATAGTTCTATAGAACAGACGGGAAAAGTTGGATTTTGTTTTTACTGGAAATTTCATCAGATAGCTCTTTTTATCCTGTCATTTTATATACTACATTTTTTTTCCTAAAGCAAAAAGCAAGTTTCCAAATTGAGTTTGATGTTTTTTTTTTTCAATATGTAGGTCAGATATATGGGAAGATATGTTTTGTAATATGTTTAATTATTAGTCATTGGTTATCTTCTTAGTCTATCTTCCAAAGTTTTTCATTGTACTCTTAGATGATAACTACATGTCCTAGGAAAAGGTTAATGATCTTAATGATGTTCTTGTCATTTTGTTCTCTATACGTGAATTATTAATAATATGCCATATTTTGGTAGCATTCTCTTTTTCTGAGTCTCTTTTCAATCACTCTCCTGCCAGCCTGCCTCCAACCCTCTCAGCATGTGGTAACTATTTGTTCTTTTGCTTTTAGGATCTAACCAGCTTGGAAGTCTGAAATTTTAGAACATCTGGTGATTTTTTTTTTTTTCTTAAAATTTAGTCTAGTCTTTCACTTGCTAATAGCTGGGAGCCATAAATGTCTGTTTTCTGTCACACTGATTATCAAATAGGTCTCTCTTTGATTGTCAGCAGGCATCTTAGTTACTACTTAAAAACTTCACTCTCATTAGGAGCCTGAGGTCTTTTCAGCAAAGTGATGTTGGCTAGGATTTTATTGGTAGCTTATTCTTTTGCAGAATGTGAGTATATATATATATATATATATATATATATATATATATTTTTTCTCTAAGGTTAAAGGCCATTGTTTCTCCTTTCTCACAATAACTGCTTACTTCTGGGTCTTGGTTGTCTCCAAGTCTAAACATTGTAAAATGAACTTTATTTTCTACTGGAAGGTTTGTTCCTGTTGGTGTTTATAACAGGCATGAGTTGTGCATTTGGTTGGAAGATTTTTTCTTAATAGGCATGTAACTCTTCCCAGTATATCCACTTATAAGCTCTGACTATAAATCTTGTGAAAAGTTACTGTGACTGGAATTTTTCACTAATGTATACTGTTGAATATGTGAATATAGTATTTCACCAGACTTTGGAACTTTTTACCGCATATCCCTTACTATATAGCTGCGTATTCTTTTAAAATTAGCCATATCTGTTACTTGCAGTCCAGGTTTGCATGGATGGAATAAAGTTTGACTTGAGTACCATATAAAAAGTATATGAAATGCAAGCATTGTGTGCTACATCTGTTATGTTGCTTTCTAGACAAGTTTTATGCACAGTGTTACTAGTGTTTACCCTACCTTTATGCCGTGGTATCTTCAGTGTACACAGCTAGCATGAAACCCTGTTTAACATTTTAAAATGTCTAACGTATCCTTATAAAACTAACCTGTGGTTTTTTAAAGTGTTATGTTTTGGAATTTTTTTTTTTTTTTTTTTTTTTTTTTTTTTTTTTTTTTTTTTTTTTTTTTTTTTTTTTTTTTTTTTTTTTTTTTTGCTATGAATCATTATTTCCTTTTATTCAGTGAATAGAAGACGTAGGCTTGTACTACTATCACTATGGAAGAAAGTAAGCCATTAGAGTAGGGTATATACTAACAAAAGTATTCAAAATAGTTTTCTGTTAGAAGCTACTTTGTTAAAATTATTTATTTTTTGTTGAAGGAAATTATTTTTCTAAACATAAAATGGAGTCACTTTTCTAGAAATAGTTGAAACACATGTATAAAATACTGGCCAGAAGTTTTTTATAAATAGGAAAAGATAATGTTTCAAAGAAATATCCTAAATCTGTAATTTGAAAACATACATTTGAAAAACTAAAATTTTCCCTTGAGTGTTGCCTTTTCACATCCTGTAGCTAGTTTTACTTACTGGTGTTTGCATGCCTTTGCCAACGTGTATCAGAAAATAGCAACATTTCATCTTACAGATTTAGGAAGTAAATTTAAGCTTTTAAAATGATATGTGTTAGAGGCATTTTTTGGAATTTTAACTAAGACGTAACTTTTTCATATGCCCATGAATATATTTTATAGGCCTTATTTGCAAAAGGAGTGACTTTTAGGGGAGCCTTTCATTGTGGTTAAGAAGCTATGGAAAAGCTTAACGGTGAAATGGTAGCAACATGGCCTGTGAGAGCAATCTTAGACAATGAAAGATGCTTTTAAAATTCAAAATACCATGCAGACAGTGCATTGACTTGTACGATGGATTGCTTCTCCCATGATCTTGCTTTCTTATCCACCATGCTTTACTGGCCATTTGAGGCATGCAGCAATAATTATTTTGAAAGAAGAAAAGGGGAGAGTTAATGGTAGAAGACTAGATCTCTGGGCAATGTAACCTTGAGACTAGGGATCAGGTGGAAGATGACTAGGGAAGATGACTGACAAAATTGTGGAGGCCTGTGTGTTCTGCATCCTCAACCTCTCTTGTATCCATTCATTCTTAATTGCTCCATGTTTCAACCTTCATCATTTCTCACTTGCAAGCAGCCACTCAATTGTTCTCCGTACTTCCAGTTCTGCTCTCCATTGATTCCTTCCCTGCATTGCCCTCAGATTGATCATTCTTTAAGTAAAATAAAGTCTTCCCCTATGAAAAAATCTTTCAGTGGCACTCCATTACATTTCCCAATAAAAGTGAATTTCTTGGCCTGGCCTCCAAGGCCCTTCATGATCTGGCCCTATCTAATCATGTCTCTGCCGTCTCTTCTCTTCTCACGGACCTGAGGCTTCAGCCACAGTGAGAAAATAGGTCCTCCTCTCCAACATACTATGGCACTTTCTTCTGTGCCATTTGTAAATGTTGTTCCCTCTGCCTGGGACATATTGGTTGGCCTGACATACCTCAGGTCTTTATTCTATGTTCTCAAAAATCATCTTGTCCCTCTGCCTTTTCCCTACTCCAAGCAGTATACCAACTCCCTCTGCGATCCTTTAACATGTTGTCCACACCTTAACTATATAGCATTTAGCATTTTATATGGTGACTATTAGTATTTATGTTGACTTCCCTAATGTGAGCTCTTTAAGGGCAAATATTTGAACTTCTAGGTATTTGTATCCCTAGTACCCAAGGGAGTGTTTAGATTTTAATAGGTACTCAACAAATGGAAAAAAGATTTCAAGCAATATTTAAGTGTCAAAGCTACTTATTCCCCTCATGTCTAAGCTTACCTCATTCCCAGTACTCTTCCCCAGAGAGTAATCACTATTAACAATTTGATATATTTAATGTTTATTGCCCCTAGCATTTTCATATAAGTTCAAGTTTATAATATGGTAGGATCTTAATGTATTTTTTACAAGATAAGTGTATATATTTCCCTTTTTTCCTTTTTTATCAAAGTATAATTTATATACAGTAAAATACATGAATTCTAATGATATGATGCATTTTTATATTTATACATTCATTGTAACCACCATCCCAGGCCAAGATATATAACATTTCCATCAACCAGG